GGGGGACGGGCAGGGTAGAGGTTGCTGGAGGGGAGGGATGGGGACCTGTCGGCGGCAGCGTGTAAATCGGTGAGGTGAGGGGCTTACCGGGCCCCCAGCTCCTGCTGCTGGAACCTGGGCTCTCGTGACTCAGCTTGGGGACCGCCCCCTCCCCCAACCCCCACACGCAGGCTCCCCCGGAACATGCGCACTTGTGTGCAGTCTTGGCCGTGCGCAGCGGGGGAGGGGAGACAGCTCTCGAAAACCCGTCATCAGGCGGCCTTGGACCCTGCATTTGCTTTAAGTGCCCCTCCTCCAGTGTTCACCGAGGATGGGAGGGGTCTCAGCATAGGGCAGGGACACACAGGTGCCCCCGCTTCCCTCCTCCCCCTCCACCCGTTGCCCCAGGATATATGGCCACAAAGGCCCTTCTGGTACCACTGTGCTGGAGGGACCCGGAGGTAGAGGGGCCCAAGAGGGACAAAGGCTTTTCCAAGGTCTCAGAGCCAGTTACATTCAAGCTGGGACTAGACACTGCTCTTCTAATTCCCCTGTTGCCGGGCCCTGCTCCCACGGGCCAGCACTTGAGGGATTTAGCTACACAGGACTGGTATGCACGGGAGGAGGAGAGGGTGTCCCGGTCCTGTAGTTTCACTCCTTTCCCTGATCCGTTGGTTTTATGCAGGGAGGCCTGGACTCATTTGAAACCTCTAGGGTTGGCAAAGGGGTCTCTGGGCCATCACATACATGTGACTGCACAGGAGTGTCCTTGGGTGCGTCTGTGAGCTTGGGGTGTGTTGGGCTTCTGAGTTTGGGAATGTATCGGAATTGGGGGGATGTCCATTGTGAGTTTGGGGTGTCAAAGAGTTGGGGTGTATGCTTGAGTTGAGTTGTGTATATATAATGTTTATGCTTTAGGGTGTTGGTAAATCAGGGGGTTTGGCTTGGGGTATGTTCGTGCTTTAAGGGCTTACGATTTAGAGAGTGTATCTGTGTTGGGGTGTACGTTGGGTCTTTCTGTGTATTAGGGTGTATATCTACAAATTGCTGTCTGATTTATGGCATGCATCCATGAGCAAGGATTGTATGAGTTAAAGACTAAATTCTGAGGGGTGCATCTGAATTTACAATGTCTGTGCGTTGGGGTGAGTGTGGATTGGTGATCTGGCTAGTTGGGGTGTATGTCTCTAAACTGGGCTGTGTGTACGTGAGTTGGGGTATAGCCTCGGGCGTTTGAGCTATCTTCGGTTGGGTGAGTTGGCTGAGGCTGGTGCGATTCCATGGCTGCCTCCATTCCTGCCCCTCCTGCGTGGCCTGCCCTGGCTCGGGGCGGGGAGAAGGGGCCGAGGGGACGCGTTCCCACCTCCTCCGCCCCTGGCCCCCCCAAGGTGACGAGCCAGGAGGGAGCTGCAGACCCTACAGGGTCAGCCCACCTTCTTAGACGCAGGCCTAGGGGCTTCCGGCGCCACCGCCATCACCCCCGTTGCCGCGCATGTTCGCGCACGGGCCCAGGCTGGTCCCCGAGGCCCCGCCCCCATGGCGGCGCGCCGCGGGCCCCTGCGCTGTCGGACGCCTCCATTTTGTGCCGTCCCCGCCCCCAGCCCTCGCCCTCCCTCCCCGTCGGCGGCCCCCTCCCGCTCGC